TCTGATTTCTAGGGGGAGGCCGGGCTTTGGGGTGCACCGGGCGGGGGTCCCGGCGGGGGCTGAGCGGAGGAGGGGCTGCAGTCTGGGAGGGAAGGCGCGCTCGTGGGTTCGCCCTAATAATGGTTGGCTGTCTGCAGCAGCTTGGGGCGCCCTGCAGGGTGGGGACGGAGTGAGTGGCCCTGGGTGGGGGCGGGGGACACCTGGTGCCACCAGAAGCGACCGGAGGGAGGGAGGAGGGACTAATAAAACCTGACAGATAAGCTAGGGAGAGGCCAACCGACCGGCGGCGGCAGGAGGAGAAACTAGCCAGGAACTTGCAGGCGTGAAATGAAAGTAACTTCCATCAGGGCCCGTGTAGTGAGGAACTTTGGGGGGGCGGGGGGGAGGGGCGTGTGTTACTTACTTAGTTCCCACAACAGCCCTGCTGCGAAGGCCAGAACTTATTTAAAGAGCCCAGAGAGAAGCTGGGCTGGCTGCCCCGGGGCACTGTGTTGAGGCCAGGCTGTGTTAGATCCGGAGCCCACGTGGCACCCGCTGCCTTTGCTTACCTGGCCAATCTCCAGGCCTTATACTTTCAAATGTGCCAGTCATTGCCTTCGTCTTTTTTCATTTAATTGTAAGCTTATATACTTTAATTTTTAACAACCAATTGGCATAATTTCTGAAAACCTAACACTGATGGGGCCTCGCTGCCCTACTCAACTTTTGCATAGGCGGTTACATATACCTGGAATGCTTTTCTCGTCCCCTTTAAAAAGTTGGTTTTACTCTGAAATAACTATGCTCTCTCCGGAAGTTGCAAAAAGCCGTACTTTCATGGGCATTTGCCCAGGGGATCCTCTGAAATTTGTGCTTTGAGCTGGGGTCCCAGGAAGGACGAGGCTGGAGAAGTCCTTGAACGCCAGTGTGATGGGAGCCCTGCTCTTCCAGGGCCCACCCAATGGCGGCCTGGGGTTCACACTCCCCCTAGTGCGGTTGTTTATGCTCCGGCGATGGGCCTGGGGCTGACCTGTAAGTCCTGGAGCCCTTCACGCCCAGAGCACCCCCAGCTACACTGGTCCAGGCCTGCCAAGCACGCGGGAACCTGATCCCGCCCTTCAGTGACACAGGCAGCCTGCTCTCCCAGACCCTCTACCTCCCAGTTTGTTTTTAAGAACTGCCAAGCCAGCAAGCAGGGTGGGGCGGGCCTGAAGTCCCACCCAATCCTGAAGTTCTGATTCTAGATTTGTGGCTGCCTGTTCAAAGGCCTCCTATGAGCCCAGCCGGCACGGCTCCGTGGTTGAGCATTGCCCTGTATAAACCAGGATGTCAGGGTTCGATTCCCCGTCAGGGCACATTTTCAGGTTTCGGGCTCAATCCCCAGTCGGGGGCATGCAGAAGGCAGTTAATCAGTGATTCTCTGTCATCATTGATGTTTCCATCTCTCTCTCCTCTCCCTTCCTCTCTGAAACTAATAAAAATATATATTTTTTAAAAAGGCCACCTATGAGAGTAACTTTGAAAAAGAAATGGTATTTTTATTAAGCTGTTTTGAATAATTATTAATGCCAGCCACATACAGGGCATCGACACTGCCTTCTATGTTCATTATTTATTCTTTGCCAAAAGAGGTGAGGTTTGGAAAGCCCCTCATAGGACATGGCAACAGGCCAGGGAGCCTAACATGCCCACCTTCACATAACCTGTTAAGCTGCAGAGTGAACTTTGCACTGGCTTTCAGGTGAGAGTGGGGGATCTGACTCCCAAACCATGGTTCTTTTCTTTCTAAATGTGTCCTTGAGGCAAAGAGCCCCAAGAATGATGGGGGGCAGGGGCTGTTGAACATCAGAAGAAGGGGCCCAAAGCAAACCTCAACATCATCTAGCTGTGTAAACCACCGATTCTGGGATGACCCCTTAACCAAAGCCCCCCGAAAAGGTCAAATCAGTTTGAATTTCCCCCTCCTCCAAGAAGCCCTCCCACCCCTTCTACTCCAACTGCAGGCGGAGCCAGTGGCCCCTCTGTGCTCCCACTGAACTTCATTCAGCCTTTTCTTAATTATACTGTATCTCAAGCAGGCCTGTGGCCTGCCTTCACCTCCAGGCTCTGGCAAAGTCAAGAGTTTCTTTGTATCCAGCTCAGGGCCTGTGGGCAAAGTGGTGCCTAAAAGTCAGCCTGCAGCGGGACTGTGGGCGGGGGCTGGGCATAAGGTAGCACACTGTGCCCTCATTAGGCCTGGGCACCATTGGCCTACGACTGGGGAAGAAGTCCCGCCGCAGGAGTTGAAATCTGGCTTCACCTCCGGAGGCTGCCCCTGACCTGCTGCGGTGCTTAGGCTGTAGCCTGGCCCAGAGCGCCCTCCTGCAAACACTTTTTTTCTACCCATCCTCTTCCCTGTGGTGGCAGGACTGCCTGGTGTGGGTGTAAAGGTTGCACCCTGCACAGGGAGTGCACAGCTGAGGGGCTTGACCTGGAGGCCTTGCAAAAGGGGCGCCTTTCTCTGACCCACACAAAGGCCTCTGGTGAGCTAGGGGCTGCGTGCACAGGGGCGGCGCAGTGGGAGCATCTCGGCTTTGGAAGGCTGTGGGCTGCTATGACAGTGGGCCGCTGCTGGCTCACAGGGAAGTGGAGGGGAGAGGGAGGGAGGTGCTAAGTCGCTGTTGCTGCTACAAGAAGACCCAGAGAGAAAGCTCAGGCTCACGGGGCAAAATCTGACTTTGCTGGACTCCGGGAGCCTGCTAGGTGCGTGTCAGTGAGGCCTGGATTCTGGGGTCAGACTGCCTAGTGTGCAGCCTGGTCACTGCTTCTCAAGTTAGTGCACTTCTCTGACCTCAGTGACCCCCTCTGTGAAACAGTGAGAATAATACCAAACCTCTTGAGGGCGCTCACTCAACCAATCATCTAGAGCAGGGTGGGGAACAGCCTGCCTGCGGGCCCTATAAGGCCCGGAAATCATTCGGTCTGGCCCTTCCAAGGCGTTAGGGGCGAGTTACTTAAATGTTTGACTACTATAGTAGGCTGATCTTTAAGGTGATAACTTTGTATGGCCCTCGAATGATGTTATAAATATCCACATGGGCCTTGGCAGAAAAAAAGGTTCCCCACCCCTGATCTAGAGCCTACCGGTGACCTACCTTGTTCCCCACCCCTGATCTAGCGAGCCTACCGGTGACCTGCCTTGTTCTAAGCCAGCGGTTCTCAACCTCGGCTGCACATTAGAATCACCTGGGAATCTTCTTAAAATCCTGATTTCTGGGCCTCATTCTCTGGAAATTCTGTTTCTTTGTTACTCATGTTGTGGCCCCACTCCATAACAAAGAAACAGAATTTCTGCAGGATGACGCCCAGAAATCAGGATTTTAAAAAGATTCCCAGGTGATTCTAATGTGCAGCCAAGGTTGAGAACCACTGCTCCAAGGTGTTGTGAGGATGAAGTGGTCCACACAGCCGGACCGGTCGGTTCCAGCTACTTTTCCTATTAGGCTGCTTGTGTAAATGCTGAATGAATGAGTTTCACCGGGGGCCTTCCTTGCTGGGTGCATCTTCGGGAGGGCCTAAGGCTTTTGCCCCTGCTTGGGCCCTCTCCCAATGGGCCCCCCGCTAACCCCCTACCCCACTCCACGCAGCAAGCAGCAGTGAGGGGCCCTCCTGGCCCTTTCTAGGGGCCGTGGTCGTCACCGTGCAGGTAATACAGTATATCCTGGCGGGGGAGGGGAAGGAAGGCCGCGGTGACCCGAGTCTGCACCTGGGTTCACCGCAGACAGTTTTCTGAGGTCCCTGGACTCTGCCCTCCGCCGGCTCCACCTCCCCTCCTGGCCCAGCCCCGGCTCCAGCCCCTGCCCCGGCCCAGCCTGAGAGGCATGGGGCGTTTCCTGCCCTGGGGCCGGCCCTTCCTAGATTCCCTCCTGACTTCCTCTCTGTTTCCCAG